TTTTGTTGGTTACCCACTGTTCGAGATCGTTTAATTAAAATAATGTGTCTTATTGTCAATCTTGTTCAATTATTAAATTAATCCCCGTTAAACACTTGATTTTTACTAACTTATCTTCCCGCGCAAACTTGCCGCCGGGTCGTATGAGCATTGAGCCCCGTCCCGTGGAGACGGTGACTGGGAAAAATCCCAGAAGTTTTATTCCTGCGATTCGAACTTGGGACAAATTCCATGAAAACGTCTCGTGGAGACAAGGCTTTAGAGTCCGAGATTGAAACGAATCAAGGTCCGAAAACCTTTTTACATCTCTAACGGATGAGAAGGCTCTTCATGCATGTCCAGTTGAATCAGTGAGAACGAAAACACACCAACTCGAAAAAATGAAAATAATCGATACACACACAAAACTGCATGGTAGGTGAAGAAGTTCGTCTAAGAAAAATATTTTTGGTGCCTAAAAGCAAGTACTTAAGGACACTTTAAATGTCTAAGTTGGAACAGATACGGTAACTTTAATGACCTTTATGAAAATTGTCTGTCCTTAGTGAGAAGGGAGCATTTTCAAGTTACCGAGTTGGTGTGTTTTCGTTCTCACTGATTCAGTTGTCATCTCGACTCCAGGCCACGCGACTGATTGGACGACAACGCGGACTCGACCGCAACGACGACAAGGATCGCAGAACTCATTGCGTCAAAATTGCGTGAATGCACGGACGGAAAGTTCGAGTGCCCGAAACTTCGAACGTCCACTTGAATCGACGATGAGGGCCCTCGGATTGAAAGCGTCGAAACGGAGTCCGGGAGTCCTCCACTCCAACTCGGAACTCCTGATCGATTTTCGCCGGTAGCGCGCGGGTCGCTCCCGACAAGGCCGACTCCCAATCCCGGCCTCAAAACAATCCGAGCGGAATGAGAATGACACTTGCTGAGCACTTACTTACTGGATATTCCGACACGCCATTGGGCGCACCTTTATCGCCTACTGTTTGGAGTGCGCGCGAGTGTATTGTCTCGGCTCTTATGTTTGCAGTTGGCTCCAACAAATAATCTCCTCGGTGATTTTCCGAGAGAGGTAGAAGTCACTAACCTGTAGAGTTTGATCCTGGTTTTGTTTTGATTTGCCATTCTGTGACAGTGGCGTGGCGTGAATTGCGATATATTGATTGATATGTAATTTTTACCTATGGTAAAAAATCGATTATTAAGGTGTTCGCTGCGAACACCCTGTTTATCGATCCATTTCCATAGATTTAAATGGCATAACAATCGATATATCGCAAAGCACGCCACGCCACGCCACTGTCCTGTGACCCTGGTTTGACAAACTAGAATCTTAACTCTCTATGGCATGAATTAATGTAGGATCTCAGATTCTAGGGGACACTAATCTATTTTGTAGCTTGCATGAAAAACAGAGTACCAAATTGTTTTCCAAAATTTTAAAGTGCCCAGCGATGTCTCTTAAAAATAGTGGTGAAATCTTGAAATTGAATCAAATCCAGTCTGGCAGCGAGTAACTCCTGTCCGAAACTGACTCGGCGCTCGGAAGCGAACGTATTCTGATATTTGCCGAGTGTTAAGGCAAACAAATTCATCTTTTCGGCACGAGTTCTAATACTGCCGAGCTACGGAAAGACGCCGTGCGAGCCTTCAGACGTTGTCGATTTTCCTCCGATGAAATACGAATTTTCGAGGAAACTGTTGGATACTTGCAGAGACAAGAGACTCTTCACTAGTATCTTGGAAATGGTGGAAGCTTTTACTTTCGGGACTTCAGCATTCTACTGTTGACTTACCTACATGGTTGGAACAACGTGTTGCCAATTTCGTTTGGCAAATAAGCTGAAGTTTGGGAAACTAGTTTGGCTCATGACGTCACCCAAAGCTTATCATCCACCATCTAGGTTGGTCAACAGCCGAAATAAGAGTGATGACTGTTGCTCCCTTATAATTGACCCTGAGGAATTGTTGAATCCCCGAGAGTAAAAGCTACCACCTTTCGCCAAGAGGCTAGTGGAGAATCTCTTGTCTCTGGATATTTGTCTTCAAATTTTTCAGACTATTTTGTACACAATTTAATCTACAGGGTGTCTACTAAAACAGGCTGGCCAAAACCAGTACTTTCGTAGTACTTTTTTAGTACATTCCCAAGAAATTCAGTACCTCCTCAACAATAAAATTCAGTACTTTTTCAGTACATCCAATGGACGAAATTCGGCAAGTTTCAAAAATTTGAATTTCCCGCTCAAATTGAAATACAAGTGACAAAAAATGAACAAATTCTGGACCTTCTTGCGGAATTCCGCGCTTTTTCAGTCCTTTCGGACCGCCCTGAAAAAATCAGTACTTATTCCAGACTTTTTGGAAATTCCGGACTTGTAGACACCTTAGTCTAGAAGATCCGAAGTTTTCAAGGACAAATATGCAGAACTCACCTCGGAAATACGCGTTTTATCCGGGGAAATTCGGCAACTCTTGAATGTGCGCTCTTATGCAACCGGGGGATCCTGCCGAAAAACGAGAGGGTCGTTTCCGGCGGCGCGTTTTTCCACGCACTTGTCTCGCTCGACGTCGCGACGCCGACGGAAGAAGATGAAGCGCGCCGCGACGCGACCAGAGACAAGAGACCCTCCACTGGCCTCCTAGCGACAGGTGGAAGCTTTTACTTTCGGGGTTTCAACAATTCCTTATGGACAATTATGAGCGAGCAACAGTCATCACCCTATTTTCGGCTGTTGACTTACCTACATGGTCGATGATGAGCTTCGGATGACGTCATAAGCCAAACAACTTTCCCAAACGTCGGCCATTTTCGGCTTGTTTGCGAAACGAAACTGCCAACACGTTGTTGAACATCAACCATGTAGGTAAGTCAACAGTAGAATGCTGAAGTCCCGAAAGTAAAAGCTTCCACCATAGCCAAGTTACAAGTGGAGGGTCTCTTGTCTCTGGACGCGACCGACGCGACGCGACGCCGACGGACGGCGGATCCGGACGCAGACGTGATGTCATGCCGATTAGAAACTTGATGCGACCATCGCGATCGCGTAGGCATTAGCCGCGGCGAAAACTCCCGTCATCGCTGCAGAAAATCTTTAGTTGACCGACGCCGCGCCGCACAAAGGAGTGCGGTAGAAAGGAAGGTCCAACGTTAGGGTGTCTACTAAAACAGACTGGCCAAAAATCAGTACTTTAACCGTACCTTTTCAGTACATTCCGAAGAAATTCAGTGCCACCTCAACGGAAAAATTCAGTACTTTTTCAGTACCTCCAATTGATGAAATTTGAAAAATTTGAATAATTTGAATTTCCCGCTCAGAATGCGACAATAATGACAAAAAAAAGGAAAAAATTCCGGACCGATTTGCAGAATTTCCGCACTTTTCCAGTACTTCCGGTCCGCTCTTAACAAATCAGTACTAAGTCCGGACTTTCCGGAAAATCCGGATGAAAAAAGCCGTTCGCTCAGATTACACAATTGACTTTTCAGGCTACGTTTATATGTTAAGCCAATCGATATCGAGGAAATCTCAACTGTTCGATGAATTGAATACGATCCATACTGGGGCTTTTTTACGTTTATTTCGTTACATAGTAACTGCTAAAGGATGTAAGACGTGGAAATTTCCCGGAAAAATCAATGGAACTGCTTTTAAACGTCTACGTTTTGTATTTATCACAGACAATTAATGAGTAAAACAAAATTGTTAGTTCAGCAATTTAATTTTTTTCGTGTAATTTCCTGTAACGTAAAAACAAAGATTTAAGCGTTTAAATTTTCCACACCATGTCCAACCTTTCCCATTGACTCGCCTCATTGTGCGGCGTCTCCACGCGCCGCGAGTTTCAAGAGCTAATCACCGTATACCTCGGCTGTCCAATTTTGGGCTTCCGACAGAAGCATCTTCTGGATAAACGCCTACCCAGAGAAATTCGGGTGGGATTAGAACTATTGCAAACTTTGAATAAAGCGAGAAAAGGACAACAGGGTCCACTGCTCCGTCAATATTTAGAATCAGCCACTGGAAAAAAACACATTGGATCAAGAGTCCAGACTCTTAAAAACATCGACAAGAAAAAATACTCTTGATTCAATCCGATTTAAGCTTAGATCAAGAACCAAGCCTCTTAATTTGAGCGGATTTCCTTTTGATTTAAGCTTAAATCTGATTGAATCAAGAGTCCTTTTTCTTGTCAATGTTTTCAAGAGTCTGGACTCTAGATACAATGTGTTTTTTCTCCAGTGAGTAGTCCTTCCTTTCGGTGCATTCTTGTCACTTTTTCCTATTATTTCCAAAAAATTGTTTTTCCGTTTTCCTAGAATCTCTGCTTTTTCACTGTCATTCCTCCTTTTCCTTCACCTAGCACGCATTATGAACTCTGGCGAGCACCGATTTTTGCAAAAGATAATGAGATTCGGATTTGGACAGAGGGGAATGAGCGGAGATTGAGATACGCGGTATCTTGTTGAGATTTTGCGGGAACGTGAAAAAGTAATCTGTGTATAAAAATTACATACCTCATCGTGAAATCTCGAATTATCGTACTGAAATATTTGAAAAAGAAAAATCCGTACCGACCTTTCAAAATCCGTGCTTTTCCAGTAAATAGCATTTCTTTTCCCGTGCGGTAGACATATCCTGAGAGAAATTGCATTTCGTGGAAAGTGACTCGAAAATCAAGATGACCGCCTTGAAAAAATCTACAATTCACTCTTGACCTCAAGGTTTACGCACTGAAGTTTAAAAAACTTAAGCCGTGGAAGCCGTGTACTTACGGGCTATATAGACATACCGTCCGAAAGGCAGAAAGTTCCGGGTGTAGTTGTAGTACCCGAAGCAATCGAAGCTACAGCTCCAGCACCCGGAACTTTCGGCCTTTGAGTCCGAAACGGACGGTATGTCTATATAACTCGTAACTTTTAATTCAGTACGTGAAAGATTTATAAATAGAATTAGATTAACTGAGAACCAAAGTTAAAGATGTCGTAAGTGACTTACCAATACTGTCCAACCGATGACCAGAGATCCTGCTCTGAGCGAACATCCGCAACAGCAGAATTCCAGCTGCGGTAGATACTGCAGACGAAGTCTATCTAACACCGACATCATATGAGCATACGATGTACTTAGGAGAATGAAATCTGAAACAAAAGACAAGAGCAAACCAATTTAACTTAACTTTTCATCGTCATTTCACTCACAGGGCCTGATCTAGGGAAGGAGGGGGGGGGTGCCAAAATGGCAATTACTTTTACCAAAGATACACTTTTCATGCTTTTATCCCCCTCAGTATTGCCACATTCGCGGTTGCAACGTTAGCAAATCGCGTTGACGCGTATTTGTAAACATTAATCGCGGTAAAAGTGTGCTGACCACGTGAAAGTAAGTCGAATGTTCTGACAGTAGACTATTTTTTTAGAATTTTAACTGCACCCGTGAGTTCCTTGAGAGCCGTTCCTAGCCGGCGAGAAACGTGATCAGCGATATAGCTGCGGCTCGGCATACCTGCGGATGTGCCAACATTGAAGGGGAAAAGGTGGTTAAAAGGATTTTAGGGGAGAATCTGAGCTAATAACATAAAAATAGGCAAGAAATTAGGCTTGTAGACTTTTCAGATTTTTGTTGCCACGATTTCATTTCTTACTTGACACGTCATATCAACGCGATGCTCGCAATTAAGGCTTATTTTAAGGATTTTGTAAATTTTTTTCTGCCTACAATTTTTTGATACAGCGATTGAAATTTTTACAGTTTGTAGTACCATGTATGAACGACGATTCCTCAAATTTTACTCTATACAATTCAAAGAATTATAGCAAAATTCTCTGGCATTTTTGAGTTTTGCTAACTATTTCAAGTTTTCCCTGACTGCCTGACTTTTTTTGGAAAAAGTAAAAGCTTCTGCAAAACGCTCAACTTTTCACAAAATATAATCTCCTCATGCCTGCTTAAGGATTCCACTCATTTTTCATGTCGGCGACAACGCTGCTGTGCCGACGCTCAAATTGCAAATACGGAAGGAACTAAATGTTGATCATCGCGTCTTCTGGGTGTTTGTTTACACTACACTAGACTGAGCACTGATGTAATATTGATCACGAACATCAGTCTGATTGATAAAGATTCTAATTAACATTAAAAAATGCTCTCCGAATCATTGGCAACGTTGCATTCACCCGATGAATTCGACCGTGGCCGCAAGACCCCGAGCAGAAGCTGCGTGCAAACATTGGATTTTGAGAAGCATTATCCCATCTCAATGTCAAGAGGAATGTGCGAATAAATGCGATGCTCTAATCGTCGTTCCTCTGACGTCAGGGTAGGGCGTATCTCTAAACGGAAAAAAAATTGCTGATTCAACAATTCAATTGCTAAAAACAGTGAGTGCAATGTTTCAACGCAGATTTTACAACAAAAAAATGCTACTTTAACCACATTGTAAACTAATTTAACCACGGGGGTGGTTAAAGTAGCATTTTTTTGTTGTAAAATCTGCGTTGAAACATTGCACTCACTGTTTTTAGCAATTGAATTGTTGAATCAGCAATTTTTTTCCGTGTATTTCAACATGAGCTCCGGAAAGTATAGAGTCGAACGGAAAACAGGGCTCACGTTGAAATAGAAATACGCCCTTGCGTCGGGGTAGCGACGCACAGTGGATCCAGTCAATTAGAGAGGTCGGACATGAAATTTTTGACTAAAACTGCAGATTTTGATGTTTATTCGTCGCATTTTAAACTGTATGGGGTGGTTCTGGAAGAAAACTTCACGAGGAATCCAATGGAACCTCTTTCAGAACCTTAAAGTTTTGTATAAACGGAGTTATAAGCGTTTAAAGTTTCCAAATTTTGTCCGACCTCTCCAATTGTCGATCCACTGTGCGACGTAAGGTTGGAATGTCGGCCGATCTTGGGACAGAAGAAACGTAGAATCAAGGAATCTGGGTTCTCCGTAAAATTAGGAAAGCCTCCGAAAAATTAGGTGAGCTGCGCGGTTTTCCCCCTCTTTTAGAAATTTCGGAATCTTGCAATGCTTTTCTCTGGAGGTTCAAAAAATCTGGAAAGTTTTGGTGTCATCCTGCTTTTATGGGAGCTCTTGAATCTTCTTGATTTCTTTAGGTTTTCAAAATTCTCCGAATTTTTCCGGCACGCTTTGGACTTAACTTAGCTTTCCTATAAATGCGGATGGGTTCGAGAAATGTTTCGGTAAAAAAATGTTTGTATTTTTCCAGAAACTCTCGAATCTTTCTGATTTTTTAGGGAATTTTGTAACTTTTTCACTGTCAAGTTTTTGAGGGGCGCGTCGGAATTTCTCCACAACTTTTAAAAATTTCCTGAATATTCCTCATTCCTTTTGGCAGCTTTATGAGTTATTTCAAGCATTTTCTCCTGAATTATAGGATCCAAGTAAGACACAAACTAAAACATTTCAGTGCGTGTTTGTTCATCAAAATTTCACGTAGAAAGTGTCTCCGCTACGGGCAGTTTGGCCAGCGCGTACTTTTTACTTTGAGGCAAAGATCTCTGAAAATGAAGAAGATTCAGAAGATCTATTTTTAGCATTCCTTGTAAATTCGGGGGAAATGTTTTTCTGCACCCCTCCTGGAGACCATGAACACATCAGTTCGCAGAACTGGTAAGTTCGAAATGAATCTTAAAGAGTTCGAGATAAAAATAGAGTTTGGCGGAATAGATCCAGACAAACACCTTCACTTAAATATTTCACACTCTCGGAGTAAAAACAAGCAAGATAATAACTGCGAAAGTTCATGGCTAGTTCAGTTGAGATGGAAACGTAAAATCGCTTCGCTGAAAAGACTCCGCGCACTGTTCAATTCGGTGGCAAAATTTTCGGAAAACTAACTGGATTTTCGCGATGGGAGTCTAGGGCTAAGTTCGGCCTTTCTCAGCTAAAATAAGCTATAACCACTGGTTTTAGAGAAGTCACTGAACATTTTGCTGGATCCTTACAGGATAAATTCCAACCATGACCTTGATTTACAATTCATTAAAATATGAGATTAATATGAAAATACAACTACATGTGGATACAATGATTCTATAATTTTTTGACTAGTGAAAGATGCGCTATTTCTAATTAGGTGGGCATATTCTTAATTGAAAAATTATGTTTAAAGAATCATTTTAAAAAATTAAAAATTATAAAATAATTCTCAAAAAGTTGTGGAGCCGACTGTTAGGAGCGCATATGAATGGTTTTTTTGATCGAATTATCAAAAAAAAAAAACTCTCGTTACAAGGTGTGGTATAGCGTGTCATCGTTATGAGGCACAAGAAAGAAAAATGGCTCATTCTGATCGAACGACAGGAGTTTGTTTAGTTTCTTTTTCTCTTTATCCGACCGACCGAGGTTTCTGCCGTACTAACCACCTGCGTAGACACGCGACGTGCCTGCTTTTTGCGTCGATCGCACATTATTCATGTACTTTGAGAGGCGATTAGCGGCCTCCCCTTCCTTGTTTCGTACAAAGCACATACCTACCAATCCTTAATTTTTTGATGGACTAATCGTGCATACTATCAGTAAAAACTCGATGTCTTGTAGTTTTCAAGCTAAATGACTACTTAAGAACTTTTCTAATATTTAATGAGAATTTTCAAAAGTTTTTTACTGACAAATTTTCCATATTTTTCAAAGTTTTTTCACGTTCCGACCGGAGACAGGGAATGCGAAATTCTGATTTCTAGCTTTAAAAAGCGCATTCCCTCTCGCCCACAGATAGATTGATCTGCCGTTTAAACCCATGAAAAAGGATCAATAGAGAGGATGTTGGCAATCGGTGCTCCCATTTTCGAGATCTACTTCCGAATTTCGGAACTTTTGAAATTTTCTCAATTTTTCCTGGAACTTTTGATACCTATCTTTGGACTTTTGAAAAAATCTAAAAACAGGGTGTCTACTAAAAAAGGTTAGCCAAAAATCAGTTTTTACACAGTGCTTTTTCAATACACTCCCAGGAAATTCAGTACTTTTATGGTACCTTCAATTGACGAAATTCGAAAAATTTCATAATTTAAGTTTCTTGCTCAAATTGCGACAGAAACGACAAAAAAATGAAAAAATTCCGGACTTTCCAACGGAATTTCCACTTCTTTTTAGTACTTCCAGACCGCCTTTAAAAAATCAGTACTATTTCCGGACTTTCCAGAAATTCCGGACTTGTAGACATCCTGAAAAAGAATCTCGGAACTTTTGACGGTCATGGAGTGGGAGAAATCGGGAACAAAAGTTCCGGATCCCGGAACTTTTGACGGACACACAATGGGTGCACTGTTGGCAACGAACACCTAATTAATCGATTCGTTTCCACAGCTCCAAATTATGGAGGCAAATCGATAATGGATCATTAACGCCTTGCCTTTGAGGAGTATGTCACCTGGAGGAGGGCAAGAGATGGAGAAGGCGATGTAATTGGGCTGCGACCTTGACACGACGCGGAAGTGGGTCGTCGCGTGGATGGGTTCCGTCGACGACGTCGCGCGTCTAGGTTTTTGAACCCATTCCCGAGCGGCCATCGCTCCGGCGGCGCGACGTCGCGACGCCCCCCGAGGCACCGCGCGCCGTTCGCCGGTCTCAAAGCTCCGCGACAGCTTTCGACAGCTCCACAACAACGCCCGCTCGACAATGGGTCCCAAGACGAGGTGCTAATTCTACCGTGCTAGGGAAAAACGCCGTACACAGGGGGAAAAAAAACACATTGGATCTTTGAGTCCAGACTCTTGAAAACATTGACAAGAAAAAATACTCTTGATTCAATCGGATTTATAAGCTTGAATCAAGAACCAAGCCTCTTAATTTGAGCGGATTTTCTTTTGATTTAAGCTTAAATCTGATTGAATCAAGATTCCTCTTTTTGGTCAATGTTTTCAAGAGTCTGGACTCTAGATCCAATGTGGTTTTTTATCCAGTGTAGGGAAAACGCCGTATGAACATTCGAGGGTTGCCAAATTTCCTCCCAGGGTTGCAACAAAATTAAGACAATTAAGTCCCTGACATTTCCCTGATTTATCTGCCACATTTTGGTACTATTTCCGGACGATTGAGGAGATGCCAAATGCTTAAAAAGTTATAATTTGAAAGAAATGGTTTTTGGGCAAAATATGTTGTTCGAAACGTCAAA